ACCTTGGCTCATTCATATTTGACCTAATTTTTCTGTGTGGTATATTTTGTTCTTGTGCTTTATGTAGTATACTAGTGAATATATTATAGTCATGATCAATTGTTGTGTCATCTATGACCCCACCCCTTCCTACTGGGAACTGACGTGACTGTTCCCAGGTGACCTCACCTAGGCACCTTCTTAACCCCTGATAATCCGCCAACCGAAAGTTTGGGACTCTGACCATATTGTAGTTGTTTTTCGTTTCCCAATTTAGGGTGAACCTGATTTCTCTGTGATCACTGTTACCTAGTTCTTCCCCTACTGTGATATCTCTGATAATATTTTCTTTATTTGTTAATACTAGGTCTAATATATTGTCACCTCTAGTAAGTTCTGTAATTAGTTGTTTCAAAAAATTGTCCTGTACTGCGTCTAGGAAGTCTTCAGATTCATAGTCGCCTACAATGTTGTCCCAGTCAATATTTCTGAAGTTGAAATCCCCCATAATGCATAGGTTGTTATATTTTGCTGCCCTACTCATTTCCTGCCATATGGGCTGAGCTGCTTCTTTGCCAAGACTTGGGGAACTGTAAATCACTCCCATAATTAGTTTTTCTCTTCCTTCCGTGATTTCTACCCACACAGACTCGGTTCCTATTTCACCCTTTATTGAATTATTAGTACAACATTTTAATGTATCCTTGACGAAGAGTGCGACCCCTCCCCCCTTCCTACCTTCCCTGCCCTTGTGAAAAAGGTTGTACCCTTCTATGTGGTACTCTGATAAAAAAATTTTGCTCACCAGATTCATCCAAGTATCGGTGATTGCTATGACGTCTACATTCTCGGTACATACAACCGCTCTCAGCAAGTCTATTTTATTTCTAACGCTCCTACTGTTTGTATAGTATACATTGATACCTACTCTTCCCAGGTCCTGTTTTACCCCTTGTCCTGAGCAACTAATTTTACTTCCCTGGACCTGCTTGTTTTTTGACTCCCACTTTCCCCGACCCATCTCCCCATGATTATAACAACCACGACCATGATTATAACAACCACGACCATGAATAACCACGGCCATGATTATAACAACCACGACCATGATTATAACAACCACGACCATGATTATAACAACCACGACCATGATTATAACAACACACGACCATGAATAACCCGACCATGACCATATTATAACAACCACGACCATGATTATACAACCACGACCATGATTATAACAACCACGACCATGATTATAACAACACGACCATGATTATATCAACCACGACCTTGATTATAACAACCACGCCCATGATTATAACAACCACGACCATGATTATAACAACCACGACCATGGATTATAACAACCACGACCATGATTATAACAACCACGACCATGATTATCAACCACGACCATGATTATAACAACCACGACCATGACACGATTATAACTAACCATGATTATAACAACCACGACCATGATTATAACAACCACGACATGATGATCATAACAACCACGACCATGATTATAACAACCACGACCATGATATAATGATTATAACAACCACGACCATGATTATAACAACCACGACTATGATTATAACACACACGACCATGATTATAATAACCACGACCATGATTATAACAACCACGACCATGATTTATATCAACCACGACCATGATTATAACAACCACGACCATGATTATAACAACCACGAGTCTGATTATATCAACCACGACCATGATTATAACACCCACGACTATGATCATAACACACACGACCATGATTATATCAACCACGTCTATGATCATAACTACAACCATGATTATAACGAAAACGAGACTGATTATAACAACCACGACCATGATTATAACAACCACGATCATGATTATAACAACCACGACCATGATTATAACAACCACGATCATGATTATAACAACCACGACTATGATTATAACACCCACGACTATGATCATAACACACACGACCATGATTATAACAACCACGACCATGATTATAACAACCACGACCATGATTATAACGAAAACGAGACTGATTATAACAACCACGACCATGATTATAACAACCACGATCATGATTATAACGAAAACGAGACTGATTATAACAACCACGACCATGATTATAACAACCACGATCATGATTATAACAACCACGACATTATAACAACCACGACCATAATTATAACAACCACGACCATGATTATAACAACCACGACCATGATTATAACAGCCACGACCATGATTATAACAACCACGACCATGATTATAACGAAAACGACTATGATTATAACAACTACGACCATCTATCTCATATACTATAGGAATAGCCTTGTGTCTGTCTGTGTGTCTCTTCTGGGCAGCCGAAAACAACAGAATCGTTTTTTATCAAACTTGTTGGAAAAATCGCAAAAAATTCGTAGAGTGGAACAAACCTGGTCCCATGTCGATGGTTTCTTTAGGAAGGCATTAATGAACTCTTTTATTTATGTTGGAAAACGATGTCGCTGTATGCTGTCAACAGGATGGGGGTTGCTCTCTAGCCAAGCACGAGCGTTCTAACTTTCACTCTTTGGTAAACTGTACCACCGGACTCGCCACCGGGCACGAAGGGCCCACGATCACTTGTCTAATATACTATAGGAATAGCCGTGTGTGTGTCTGTCTGTCTGTGTGTCTGTTCTGGGCAGCTGAAACGGTACAATCGTTTTTCATCAAACTTGGGGGCAAAATCCCAAAAAATTCATAGAGTGGAACAAACCTGGTCCCATGTCGATTTTTTCTTTAGGAAGGCATTAATTAACCATTTTATTTACAATGGAAAATAATGCAAGTCTACGGACTTGGCACACCCTAATTAACCATGCAAGTCTACAGTCGTGGAGCACCCTCATTCGCTGTACACTAGCGAAGCACGAGCGTTCAAACTTTCACAGGGCACGATGGGCCTGCGATCATTTGTAATTATTAAAGCAGGACTCATCTGGGGGATTTGTATGCCCATTTTTTTCTCAGCACATGAAGACAGTGCTGTCTTTTTTAAGGAGGTCCATTGTAATCTTCTGTAAATTTAGAACGAAAATTACTGATCTGATGAACAGGAAAACGTAAGTAGGGCAGTCGTGCTATTGAATGCAGTGCACCAAGTGAGGAGTCGGGACCTAACTGACCAGCTGCCTCCATGAGGCCTACGAAATATATTTTATTAAATTAATTCATATACTGGTGATGAAGTTACGTGTCAGCAATATTAACAAAAATTATCTTGGATAATTTTCCATTTGAAAATATGTTACATGTGTCCCTAGGAAATAATTAAATTATGAAAAGAATGTCATCATGCGCTTCAAGAATTATCAAAATAATTACTGGAAAGCCTTGGAGGACGTTCGTATCTGAAATTAAAAACGTAAATAATTTAAAATAGTGCTCGTCTTTCCCTAAAAAGAAATAAATGACAATTATGGGATATTTTAATTTGTAAACAGTAGCTCCATAGAGTGGCAGGCGTGCTCAAAGGCGCTCACAAGTTACTTTCTGTCTTTCATCTACGGCAAGCGGAGGTGTAACCACCCTCTGCACCGATAGAACGCCCCACGTGGTCAAAATACTGTACTTATAGGTGAGGTCACCTGTACTCACAAGTAAGCGCATTTCAATTGCATATAATGTTTAGATAGGACAGGGAAGGGAAATCACAGTAGTTAATGGGTGGATTATTCCATGTCTTAGTGGAGTCGACTTGGTGGTGGTGGTAGACTGCTTAACAGGACTATGGCGTGGATGCTAGTGACTGGGACTATTCACGGGTCCCATGTTGAAGCTCACAGAAATACCACATCTAAGGAATGTATGCAATATCTGGGGAAAAGTTGCATAAAATGAGGGAAATTAGATCTCTCTTCTAAGTGGTGTAAGGTACACTTGGTTGTACGGTGATTTGACCTAAATGGGCAGGATTAACTCTCTTGCTCTCTCTCTCACGTACAGTCAACTGGAGAGAAACCTGCCCCTGGATGCAGCATGAGTGAATTGAAATATTTATGGCTTTAGGAAACAGGACTTTTCATGGGGCTAGTGAGTAGGGTACTACTGTATGCCCACCGAGTAACTGTGCTCATTCTTCTACTAGGTACCTTCATCTCTTCAACTATGGGTGTATGTGGTTTATCTAACCAATTCCTGGTGTGAGGTCGACAACCCTGGTGGTTGATCTTACACTCTGGATGTGGGAGTGATTTTTAAAGGTGTTACGAGTGAGCGTTCCATCGTTGGTTGTGGATTCGCAACGTGAACGTCTTTTGTTTGTGACGTCATTTCTGCCGCGTCCGCTCGCTTTGTTTACTTTAGTATGGGCCCGGCAGTGTTTAGTTAAGTACAGAGTATCTCCTTTCTTATTGTACAATGTACAGTATGTTTCTAGTGGTATAAAGTGTAAACCTTGCTCGACTTTTATAACACCAAGTAAAGTATTATTTGTGAAAGATTATTGTTAATCATATTTTGGAGTCACACGGAAAATAACTTACTTATTTATGAGGTTTCGTGTGGTGAATAGACCACGTTGTTCATGGTAGTTTCTAGACTAAATAAGTTTTTACTTTATGTTCATTATTTTGTCAATCGGTTGAGTCATTTACTTGATCAGATTTAACTTGTATTTGTTTATTTTTGTACATACTGATATATTTATTTTATTGTTTATTTGTTAATATATTCTGTTATTAAAACTACTGCATGTATTTCAATATACCCCATAGTAATGAGGTGATAATTTGGTGGGATCTATTCCTGGACCTATACTACAAAGTGTAATTTGTGAATTTGTGATATTGTTACACCCTTAAGAGGCTCAAGGGTCGTAACACAATTGGCGACCTTGCCAGGATAGATCCCTTTTCACTCGTTATCTATTGGGAATTTTAAATATAAGGATTCTTTATTGTTTAAATATTGCTACGTTTGATGTGGAAGAGTTTGTTGAAAATCCATCTGTAGAAATGTTGAAAGACAGTGTATTAAGAAAGGATGATTGGATGAAACTTGCTGAAACATATGAGATTGAGTATCGACGTAGTCAAAGAAAGTCTGAAATTAAAAATGCAGTATTAACTGAGCTTGTAAATGAAGAGGTGCTACCGAAGGGGGCACTGACTTTGCGTTCATTTGACCCCAGAGAAACTGTAGAGATAAGAAAGTTAGAAATGGAGCATGGAAGGCTAGAACGAGAAAAGGATAAGTTGCATGAGTTGGCTTTGAAGGAAAGAGAAGAAAGGGAAAGAGAGCGTGAAAGACAGCATGAATTAGCGTTAGCACAGGTTAGCAGTAGAAGACCAGACTTACAGGCATTGTCTTTAGTATCTGAGACAAAATTGTTTGATGTGACAAAACATTTGAGACTTGTGCCTGCTTTTGACGAGGAGGATCCAGAAGAGTTTTTCATGCAGTTTGAGAAGATTGCAAAGTCTTTTCAGTGGCCTGAAGAGTCGTGCTATGATTCAAAGTGTGTTCACTGGGTCAGCTCGTTCAGCATTTCTGTCTTTGTCAAGTGAAGTTTGTCGTAGTTATAAGTTAGTGAAAGAAGAAATTCTTAAGGCATATGAACTCATTCCTGAAACATATAGAGTGAAATTTAGGACTATGAGAAAGACTGATGCACAGTCGTATATAGAATTTGTTTATTCATTGAGTAAAATGTGTGGAAGGTGGATAACGTCTAGCAAGGTAGCAATGTTTGAGGAACTTGTTCAGTTGATGATTTTAGAACAGTTCAAGAGAGGCACTCCAAGAGATATACAATTGTACTTAGGAGAGAGAGATATTAGTAATGTTCATAAAGCTGCTGCATTAGCCGATAGCTATTCCCTTACTCACAAAATGCATCATGTTAAATCTCAAAATCATTCAGGTGGAAAGGGTTTTGTAGCCAAGGAAAAGGGTGGTAGGCAGGATAGTAGTACTGCTTCTTCTAGTAAAGTAAATTTTCGTGGAAACTCAAGTGAGCTTTCCAAGACCTATGCCAAGACTAAAGCATTTGTCTGTTTTTACTGTAAGAAACCAGGGCATGTGATTGCGAATTGCCCTAAATTGGAAGCAAAGAAGGAAGAGCCAGTTTAAGTCCATTACAAGGAAAGCAAATTAATTGTTGTTGATTTTTCCAGGTATATAGGACAAAGGTCAAGGACAAATTTGGGCCCTTAAAGTCAGGGAGAGGGGAAGTGATCGATGACAGTGAGGAAATAAGCAAAGCATTGAACAGCTACTTTTCATCAGTTTTCACAGAAGAAATTCACGAAGAAATTCCAGAAGTGGAACTGATATTTTGGGGAAATGAAGAAGAGAAATTAAAGAATATCACTATCACAAAAGAGGATGTTCTTCAGAAGATAAATAAATTAAAGAAGACAAATTCCCCAGAGCCAGATGAAATTTTTCCTCGAATTATGAAAGAGTGTAAGGAACAGATTAGCGTACCCCTCGTAAATTGATTTACAAAATCATTAGACACGGTAGTTGTGCCAGACTTGTGGAAACAGGCAAATTTAGTACCCATATTCAAAGAGGGAGATAGAGCATCAGCGTCAAATTACCGGCCGATTAGTTTTACGTCAGTAGTGGGGAAATTTCTTGAATCAATTATAGCAAATAGAATTCGATCGCATTTATAGAAAAGCAAATTAATCTACGACTCTCAACATGGGTTTACAAAGGGAAAATCTTGTCTAACAAATCTGCTGATTTTTTGAGGAAAGTCTTCGAGGTAGTAGATAATAACGATAATTACATAAGAAAATAAGGAGTCTGCAATAGGCCGGTTAGCCTGTGCATGGCAGCTCCTATCGAGAGTTACTACCACTCTCTATCATCCATGAATCTATCTAGCCTACTTTTAAGACTTTCCAGTGTTCCAGCACTTACTACAAAGTTGCTAAGCTTGTTTCACTCGTCCACCACCCAATTTGTGAACCAGTTCCTTCCTATCTCCCTCCTAAACCTAAACTTATCCAACTTAAATCCGTTGCTCCGAGTCCTATCTTGCTCGGATATTATAAGAACTTTATCTATATCCCCTTTATTGATTCCTTTCACCCACTTAAATACTTCTATCATATCTCCCGGCACTCTTCGTCTTTCTAGGGAATGCAAGTTAAGTTTCTTTAACCTATCCTGATATGGAAAGTTTCTAAGTCCCGGAATCATTTTCGTCATTCTTCACTGCACCGACTCTAGTGAATTGATATCCATTCTATAATAAGGGCCAGAACTGAACCGCATAATCGAGGTGCGGACTGACTAGCGCAAGATATAGTTGCAATAAGACCTCTGCACTCTTATTACTTACACTTCTAGATATAAAACCCAATACTCAGTTTGCCTTATTTCGAATATTAACGCACTTTTTTCTAGGCCGTAGGTCCGGGCTTACAAGTACCCCTACGTCTCTTTCACAAGTCGACTTCTCTAGGTTGATGTTGTTAAGGCTGTATACATTGTCAGTATTTGTTCTTCCAATATTAAGTACACTGCACTTGCTGGTGCTGAATTTCATTTGCCATTTTTCAGACCACCCCTGGCAGTTTATTTAGATCCTCCTGTAATGCATTTGCATCCATCCCTGAATTAATCTGCCGCCCTATTTTGGTGTCATCCGCAAACTTGCTTATGTCACTGCTGATCCCAGTATCTAAATCGTTTATGTAGATTATGAACAAGAGTGGGCCTAGTACTGACCCCTGGGGAACCCCACTGGTTACACAGCCCCACTCAGATTTAACACCATCTTCGCTGACCCTCTGCATTCTATCCGTGAGCTATGATTTTATCCAATTTAAAACTTTCTCCTCGATACCATGAGCCTTAATTTTTCTCAGAAGGCTCTGATGCGGTACTCTGTCAAATGCTTTGCTAAAGTCTAAGTAAATAACATCGTAATTTTCGTCATTATCTACTACCTCGAAGACTTTTCTAAAAACGTCAGCAGATTTGTTAGACAAGATTTTCCCTTTGTAAACCCATGTTGAGAGTGGTAGATTAATTTGCTTTTCTCTAGATGCGATCGGATGCTATCTGCTATAATTGATTCAAGAAATTTCCCCACTACTGACGTCAAACTGATCGGCCGGTAATTTGACACTGATGCTGTGTCTCCCTTTTTGAATATGGGTACTACATTTGCCTGTTTCTACAAGTCTGGCGCAACTCCGGTGTCTAATGATTTTGTAAATAAATTTGCAAGGGGTCCGCTAATCTGTTCCCTACTCTCTTTCAAGACTCGAGGGAAAATTTCATCCGGCCCTGGGGATTTTGTCTTCTTTAGTTTATTTATCCTCTTAAGAACATGCTCTTTTCTGATAGTGATATTCTTTAATTTCTCTTCTTCGTTTTCCCAAAATATCAGTTCCACCTCTGGAATTTCCTCGCGAATTTCTTCTGTGAAAACTGAAAAGAAGTAGTTGTTCATTGCTTTGCTTTTTTCTCCACTGCCATTTATCACTTCTCCCCTCCCTGACTTTAAAGGCCCAACTTTGTCCTTGACTTTTATTCTTTTTACGATGTTATTTACTTAGACTTTCGCAAAGCGTTTGACAGAGTACCACATCAGAGGCTTCTGAGAAAAGTTAAGGCTCATGGTATCGAGGGGAAAGTTTTAAATTGGATAAAATCATGGCTCACCGATAGAACACAGAGGGTCAGCGTAGATGGTGTTAAATCTGAGTGGGGCTGTGTAACCAGTGGGGTTCCCCAGGGGTCAGTACTGGGCCCACTCTTGTTCATAATCTATATAAACGATCTAGTTACTGGGATCAGCAGTGACATAAGCAAGTTTGCGGATGACACCAAAATAGGTCGGCAGAATAATTCAGGGCAGGATGCAAATGCACTACAGGAGGATTTAGATAAACTGCAGGAGTGGTCAAAAAATGGCAAATGAAATTCAACACCAGCAAATACAGCGTACTAAATATTGGTAGAACAAATACTGTCAATGTATACAGCCTTAACAACATCAACCTAGAAAGGTCGACTTGTAAAAGAGACTTACAGGTACTTGTAAGCCCGGACCTACAGCCTAGAAAACAGTGCGTTAATGTTTGAAATAAGGCAAAATGAGTATTAGGTTTTATATCTAGAAATGTAAGAAATAAGAGTGGAGAGGTCTTATTGCAACTATATCTTGCATTAGTCAGGCCGCACCTCGATTATGCGGTTCAGTTCTGGTACTCTTATTATAGAATGGATATCAATTCACTGGAGTCGGTGCAGCGAAGAATGACGATAATGATTCAGGGACTTAGAAACCTTCCATATCAGGATAGGTTAAAGAAACTAAGCTTGCATTCCCTAGAAAGACAAAGAGTGCGGGGAGATATGATATAATTATTTAAGTGGGTGAAACGAATCAATAAAGGCGATATAGATAAAGTTCTTATAATATCCGAGCAGGATAGGACTCGTTGTGAGGGGGCGGGTTCTAGGCCTGCCACCAATGTGAGGGGGCCGGTTCCCTCTCTGTTTCTACACCTCCCTCATCTTACTTACTTCTCTTAGTTCTTACTCTTACTCAGTTCCGTCACCTATTCTTTGGTAGCATGGACATTCTTTTGGTAGCATGGTCGAGGGTCTAGGCACGTGAGTATGGTAATTTTGGTATCAAGTCACTTGGATGGAAATAAAGGTAAAATACTGTGGGAGAAATGAATACACCTAAAGTACTCTAAAAACAAGTTTATTAATATGCAATCAATGGGGAAAGATATTGTATTAATCATATAATTACCAGGCTCACCTCCTGGGCTTAGTGCAAACTCAGTTCCTTCTTCTTTACTGTTACTCACAACATTACTGTTGTTACATTACATGGCACTCATTGTAGATTATTCAACATATATGTAAACAATGACACTAGTATATGCAGGGGTCCACTACCCAACATGAGATAATTATTTCCAACTGATTATCCCTAACATACATGTTACAACACTCTCTGGACATTCACTTCTTAGGAGTAATCCAGGGCAGAACACTAGGGCCCACGACCTTTGTTGTTGTGGGGTAGCCAGACACATGGCTGGTCTGAGGTCTGGTCCAACGAAGCCGTGGGGCACATTAATCAGGCCGCATCGGTGCCATCTTTTCATATATGATCCCGGCTGGCCATCTACTACATCCGAGGCCGTTGTTGGATGGTAGAGCGATTCAAGAATCACAAGGATCTGGAGACAAACGGGAAGCAGCGTCAGGGGACTGAGAAACATGACAACACCAACAAACTCTCTTGTCTAGACGACAGACGTATTTACGTTATATTACTTCTACACTGGGTGAATGACAATTCAACTGTTAAATCATAAACACTGGTGAACACTGATATTCACTACAATTCACTGAATTAACTGAATGGCTAGGGAACACAGAACTTACCTGGAGACAAACAGGAAGCAGTGTCAGGGGACGCTCTCCCAGGCCCTCTTGAGTTTATATACCCCTGAGTTGCCAGTGATC